ATGAATACACCGAGCAGTAAAAACAAATCAAAGGTTTCCGAGAAAGGTCCAATTTCTCGTATTTTACTTTGTTTTTACAAATCAAAGGAAAGAAAGTCAATTAAGCTTTCGCTAAAATGCATGCGATCAAAAACCATTTCCCATTTGAGTTTTAGAATGTAATTTTTTTTTGGATGACAAACTGCAGTTACCAGTATACATCTTGTATTACGGAGGACAGTAAGGAAATTAACCAATGTTTTTTAAAACACTTGCACACAGCCATTGTTTTGCTCCATTTTGTCGGACAAATATCTCGAAACAGTTGTATCCCTATAAAGTGGATTTACAAAGCTACAGAACCTAATACGATCTATATTTTCAACCGTCACCACCATTTAGTACACCAGCGTTGAAGACTACATCATCGGAAAATGAAATTTCCTTACTCGCGGTCCAATGGGAACAAACAGTGTTAGAATTGTTTTGATGTTTACTAAAAACACGCGCTTGATATAGAATGAAATAGAAATCAAAACTTTATGAGTGCGGCTGGAAGTATTGCGAGTTCACTCTACCGACGTCCCGTTTGCCGTCATGTCTCAAACTGGAGGTTGTTAACCCTTTATAAAAAGAATAATGACAGCGGCGGCGGAAAAAAAAGTTAAAATGCCATTCATTGTCCACCCTTTGAAAAGGGTGTAGTAAGTCTCCAATGCAATAAACGTCGTGCGTTGTAGATCTCATAATTTTGATCTACTGTAAGTGAACACAGATCCTTAATTCTCACACCGCATCTATCTCCGGAAAAGTAACAGGCAAAGTCAATAGGTTGAATATACTTGAAAAACTAGAGAGGGTAAAGGACCGTGCACTTAGGTATGACATGTATTTATAGCAAAGACCCTTCATTAAGAAAGAATGCTCAATTTGATTGGTTTACAAAACACATTTAAGGGTCGTCTCACCCAAGATATGTTAATTACGATAGACAGATGTTTTCAAAAGAAGACACCCACCACTACAGCTAATTCATTTCAAGTAAAGAACACGCATCGTAATTAAAGGGGCACAAATATGCTTTGATACCTAAAGTTAGATGTACAAAACATGGTCTAAGGTCCCTTCGTTACTTCGCCGCTGTGAGGACTTGGAATTCGCTGCCGGAGACGATACGCGCTTTGGCCGGCACAAGAGAAATTTAAAACTGGATTCCAGACACGCAATTTACATCTAAATTATGAGGTAATCATATTACTTATTAGAGTTTTATATCTTTTATCGTGGAATAAACCCTCCTCCCGGGGGGCAATGAATTATCGGCCAAGTATCAGTGAAGTATCGGTGAAGTGTCGGTCAAGTATCGGTGAAGTGTCGGTCAAGTATCGGTGAAGTACCGGTGAAGTATCGGTCATGTATCGGTCAAGTATCGGTCATGCATCGGTCAAGTATCGGTCGTGAATCGGTCAAGTATCGGTCAAGTGTCGGTCAAGTATCGGTCAAGTGTCGGTCAAGTATCGGTCAAGTGTCGGTCAAGTATCGGTCAAGTGTCGGTCAAGTATCGGTCAAATGTCGGTCATGTATCGGTTATGTATCGGTCATGTATCGGTCAAGTATCGGTCAAGTATCGGTCGTGAATCGGTCAAGTATCGGTCAAGTATCGGTCATGTATCGGTCAAGTATCGGTCATGTATCGGTCAAGTATCGGTCGTGTATCGGTCAAGTATCGGTCATGTATCGGTCTAGTATCGATGGTTTAAGACTATATCGGTCGACACATTTATCGGTCGACTGTCGGCCGATATATCGGTCGACTATCGACCGATAGTCGGTCGACAATCGACCGATTGTCGGTCGATTGTCGGCCGATAGTCGACCGATAGTCGACCGATATATCGGTCGACTGTCGCCCGATATGTCGACCGAGTCCGCCTATAGTACACATAATCCAAAAAATGTACATGGTTCCAGCCGAAGATCCGGCCATGGTGAATCTTTTCAAAGGACGATTGACCGTCGATCCTACATTGGATACAGCGGCCAAACTCCTGACTCGTAAAATGGAAATTTTAAAGAATCCCAATACAAGTCACGCTTTCAAAAAGCAAGCCATCAAACAGCTCGATCCTGATATAGAACTCTACGTTAGAAAAATGAGACAACTACCAGCATCGTTATCGGTCGATGCCGATCCTACCAAGTTGGCAAAATCCTTAAAAGACGAAGAAGGAGATTTTGTGACTCCCGTACAACAGAAATTGTTGAAAAGAATTTTGAGTGAAGTCACCCCCAAAAGAGAACCGGCCACACCCAGGAGAACACCCAAGAGAGCACCCAAAAGAGCACCCAAAAGAGAACCGACGACGGCACCACCACCTCTAAAACCGTCGAGAATTCCCCTCAAGATACCCAAGAAACAAACTTCAAGCAAAAGCGTGTCGTGGGATGTATTTCCATTTGCTCAAGGAGAACCTGAATTAGATGTAGATGGTACTCTCAACAAAACTTTGAGAAAAATGCGAAAAATAACTGCTAAATATTCCAAAACACCACGAGCCGTCAAAATCTTAAAACCAGCTAAAGGATGGACAAGTTTGGATTCTTCTGGGAAAAAAAAGAAGAAACGGAAAAGTCTTTTAGGTTCCGTTGCCAAAAAATTGGCGTTTGATGATAGTTAAATTGATGATGGTACTTAAAAACTTTATTTGTAACTCCGGATGTTTTTTACAACGCACCAAGTTTTCTTGTTGTAAATATAACTTTGTTGTGTTCATAAAAATATAAAATCTTGTCAGTCTAGAAACGAGACTGTTTGTCAAAGCAATAAGGTATTACATAACCGCATAACCACGCTCAGGAATAGATGTCGTCGTATACAAGATCCAATGATTCAGCCGCAAAATAATCTCGTCAAAGACTGAACTGTATATAAACATCACCCTATCTCATTTCAACATTATCAATCTCATGGCCAGAAAACGACAACACGCCACGCGTCATTCAAAGAAAAGAAGAAGTAGAAGAAGAAGAAGAATCATGGCTAGAAAACAACACGATACACGTAAATCGAAGAAAAGAAGACAGAAAGGAGGGAGAGTTGACATACAGAAAAAAAAATGAAAAATTAGGAATCGAATTTCATCCTTTTTCACTCTCAAAACGTAAAAGATATCAATACCTTGGTCCTGGAACATTTCTCAAAAAAACGACTAGCACACGGTGATCCTGGTATCAATCGTTTGGACAGAATCGCCAAACAACACGATATAGACTATTCCAATGCCAAAAACATACGTGACAAATGGAAAGCTGACCTAAAAATGGTTCTTGCCATCGATGCACTTCCTAGTAAAAAATCACCCATGGAAAAATTGTCGCGAAATATTATCGCCGCTAAAAGAAAATTCAAATTGTAAATAATCCTCTTCGTCGATTAGCTATAAAAACAACGTGCATCAACCTTCGTCATTATTACCCACTCAGAATATACTCGCATAAAAATCAGAGACATCATGGTTCGAAGAAGAAAAAACAGATGGAGAGGAACAAGAAGAAGAAGAAGAAGAAGACGAACTAGACAAAAAGGAGGTCTTCTACCCTTAGCAGCACTTATTCCAGCATTCATGGCCGCGGGAAAAGCCATCGGATTAGGTGCTCTTGGAGGAGGTGCATCTTATGGTTTCAAAAAAGCGCTAGAAGCTACCACCAGAAAAAAGTAAAATAATCCCACACACACACACACACACACACACACACACACACACACACACACGCACACACACTCCTTCACTTATAAAAAAAACAACACGCACCATCCACCGTCATTATACCTTAGAGTATACTCGTGTAATCTACAAGAAGACACCATGGTTGGAATAAGGAAAAACAGAAGAAGAAGAAGAAGAAGAAGAAGAACTAGACAAAGAGGAGGTCTCCTACCCTTAGCAGCACTTATTCCAGCACTTATTGCAGGTGGTAAAGCCATCGGATTAGGTGCTCTTGGAGGAGGTGCATCCTATGGTGCTAAAAAAGCTCTAGAAGCTGCCACCCGAAAAAGGAGGAAAAAAACCACCAAAATAAAGAGACTCCCTGCTATAACACCTAAGCAATTACAATTTCTGAGAAAAACCGGACCCATTTTTGGAAGAGCTGTCAGCTCCGCCGAAAAAATAAGAAAAAATGCATTAGGAATAACATAACCATTTGTAAATAAACATCATTCCTTTTTTCAAACTCTTTTATTTTTGTCTACTTAATTTTTTTCATCCGTGATTACGAAAGAAATGCGCTTTGACATCGATGCCTTGCTACGCGCGCGCGCGCGTAAGAAACGTTTCACCTTGACCTTCGATCCGCGTGCTTGCTTTTTGTACGCGTGTTCGGAAAATTACTGAATGATGAATACCTATCGTTATGCTACGCGCGCAATACTGACGCTATGCTTTTTCACCGTTACTATAATTTCTACGGTATCTGGCGAAATAATTCACTTCGGATCAAACATGGAGTATGTTCCAGATGAAGTTTCACAAAGAGATTATATCTCAGATGAAGATTTATTGAAAGTGGTGGAAGATATTGAACAACAACAAAGCGGTGGTGGTGCTGGCGGGAGTGGAGAAGAAAGTAGTGAAGGATTTTTTAATTTTAAACGAGTTTCATTCAGAGAGAAGACGGCGAAGAGTTACGGCATAAAACGAACGTCTTACCATCTGAATTTAGAAAACCCGCAAAGTACCTTTCGCGTTGGACATAGGAACATTATAAGAGCCTTTGAAGAAGGACTCGCCAACAGTATCCGTGATTTAATCGTTGGATTACCCGACCATGACCGCATTCAAATTTAAATCGGAAGCAACAGACTCCGTAATTCCCATACAACAGCCAACGTGTCCGTTGAACAATGGCGCGACCCCATGGGTGCATCGAGACAGGTACTTAGCAATATTTCAAACCTCCTCAATTCAAATGAAAATTTCGAAATTGATGACACCTTGCAGTTAGATGTCACGCACATCACAATGCCGCCGCCCGGAAGCGGTCTTCCGAAAGGAAAACGCAAACGCCATATCTTTGGCACCGATAATTACGGAGACTTTCTTAAAGCCAAACGTTCAGTTATTCGAATCATGAATGATGATGAACTTTGTTGTGCTCGAGCTATTGTTGTCGCAAAAGCCATAGTGGATGACCATCCACAAGTAAAATCCATCAAAGATTCCCGCAACCCTTTGCAGAAAACATTGGCACAACAATTACAAGAAGAAGCGCGCGTTCCCCTAGGTCCTTGTGGCCTAGACCAAATAAAACTCTTTGAAATCATATTGTGCGACTACCAGTTCGTCGTCATATCTGCCGAACATGGCCATTCTATCGTTCACAAAGGACCGGAAAGCAACAAGCAGATTAAACTATTGATGCATGATGAGCATTTCGACGTCATAACCAAACTTCCCGGGTTCTTCAACTCTAACTATTACTGCCTTCGATGCGAAAAAGCATACACTCATGAAGACTACAGTCATCACTCATGCCGTAGAACCAGATGTCATGCCTGCTTTCGGTTCCATTGTCGCGACTACGAACTTTTCAAACATACAGAGAAACCAGAACTACCATGCAAAAACTGCAATCGTCATTTCTATGGTGTTACCTGCCAATTAAATCATCTGACTCAAAAAGCCAATGGAAAAGCTGTAGCACCTGGAGAAAAAAATGTGTGTCATTCCCACAAGAAATGTGCCATCTGTATTCACATCCAATGCAGAAGAACACATGAAACATTGCGGATTACAGTACTGTCCGAGCTGTGAAAAGGAAGTCAACATTCTTCAGCACAAGTGTTACCTGCAACCTTCCACGCACGAACAAAAGAAGAACAAACACATCTTCGTATACTTCGATATTGAAGCGCAACAAGACACAGGCAACCATGTGGCTAACCTTGTGTGCGCAGAAACAGATCAAAACGACACGCAATTTACCTTCGAAGGTAAAGACTGTGTACCTGATTTCATACAATGGGTTCACTCATTAGCTAACCAAGAAGACGTGGAGAAAGTCATCGTAGTGGCACATAACTTCAAAGGCTACGATGGTTACTTTATCCTCGATGAACTTTACAAACAGCACGCTACCAATCTAAAACAAATCGTGAATAGTGCCAAGATCCTCAGTTTGGAATTACCCAACATCAAGTTCATCGACTCCATGAACTTTTTCCCCATGGCATTGTCCAACTTCCCTAAAACATTTGGTCTAAATGAAATGAAGAAAGGCTTCTTCCCACATTTCTTCAACACTCAACAAAACCAGATCTACGAGGGGTACATGCCAGAAAAATCCTACTACGACCCCGATGGGATGTCCCCTCAAAGAAAAGAAGAATTCGACAAATGGTACAACGAGAAAGTATCCGAAAGATATATTTTTAATTTCCAGCACGAACTGTTGACGTACTGTCAATCCGATGTAAGGCTGTTGAAACAGGGGTGTATGAAGTTTCAGTCCCAGTTCCATGAAATTTGCGGTTTCAACCCTATGGTGCATTGCACAACAATTGCCTCTGCCTGTAATGTGGCCTACAGAAAAAATTGGATGCCGAAAAACAAAATTGCCATTGAACCTGTATGTGGATGGAGATCGAATCACACCCAATCTCATACTGCTCTAAAATGGCTTTACTGGGAAGAATCAAAACTCCACAAAACCAACCATCTGCCTCGAATTGCCCATGCAAGAAACAAAGGCGAAAGAAGAATAGTAAATGGCTCAAAAATATACCTGGTAGACGGCTACGACGCACAAACACGTACCGTCTACGAGTTTCAAGGCTGTTTTTACCACGGCTGTCTAGATTGCTTCCCAAACCGTACCATGAAACATCCCATTCATCAGAATAGAACCATGCGTGATGTTCGTCAACAAACAAGATCTAAGATCAAAGAACTTACCGCCTTGGGTTATCATGTCAAAGAAATCTGGGAGTGCGAATGGAATGGAATGCAAAAAACAGATCCTCAACTAAAAGCGTTCGTCGATAAACTCGACATCGTACCCCCTCTCAATCCCCGAGAAGCCTTCTTTGGCGGTCGCACAAACGCCATAAAACTTCACCACAAAGTTGACGAAAATGAAAATGAAAAGATCGAATATAGAGACATAATATCACTGTACCCATGTGCAAATTTGAAATGTGATTACCCCATCTGCCATCCCGAGTTCATTGACCAACCAAGAACAACAGACATCTCAAGATACTATGGATTGATAAAATGCAAAATTCTACCTCCCTATGAGCTATACCGTCCAGTTCTACCATGGAGGTACGAATCAAAACTACTCTTCCCGTTGTGCAGAACATGCGCGCAACAAAACATAAAACAAGCAATCACAGAAAGAAGCGACAAGTGCCCCCATTCTGCCGAGGAAAGATGCCTCACAGGTACCTGGACAACCCTGGAACTACAAAAAGCCATTGAAAAGAGGTACGTCATCATGTACATTTACGAAGTTTGGAACTTCAAGCAACGTTCAAAGGAACTTTTTTCCCCCTACATAAAAACTTTTATGAAACTCAAACAACAGGCTTCTGGTTGGCCTTCCGAATGTGACACAGAGGAAAAAAGAAGAACCTATCTCGATGACTACAAAGCGCATGAAGGAATAGAACTAGACCCCGCCAAAGTCGAAAAGAACCCCGGTCTACGTTCCCTCGCTAAACTAATGCTGAATTCTTTCTGGGGAAAATTCGGACAACGCCTTAACCAAACCCAAGTGACCACGTGTGTCAAACCGTCCGAATTCTTCAACATCATCACAGACGACCGACAAGTCGTACACAGAATTGAAATAGCTAATGAAAAAATGGTAGAAGTGTACCACACCTTTGAAAATGAATGCAAACCCATTCAAACCAACGTAAACATCTTTATTGCATGTTTCACAACCAGTTATGCAAGACTAAAACTGTATGATGCTCTTGACACGCTGAAAGAAAGAGTATTGTATTTCGATACGGACTCAGTGATTTATACTAAGAAACCCGCTGAATCGTCCATTCCCACCGGAAATTATCTCGGCGAATTCACGAATGAACTAGACGAAGGAGATCATATTACAGAATTCGTTGCTGCTGGGCCTAAGAATTACGAAACCTTCAAAGGAAACCAATGTTGCAAAGTGAGAGGGTTTACATTGAATGCACGTGGACAAAAAATCCTCAATTTCAACAGTATGAAAAACTTGGTCTTGGACGAGATCTTGAACAAAGAAGAAGAAGAACAACCTCGCACGCTAACGCTCCACAATCCTCATAAGATCACAAGATGTGCCGCTACAAAAACCATCAAAACAGTGTCCCAGAATAAAATGTACAAACTCGTGTTTAATAAACGTGTCATTGACCATGACACCTTTCAATCTTTCCCATATGGCTATAAATGCAGCTTCTATAAATGTGGATTGTAGTGTTAGAATTCAACGATGCCTGAGTGTATCTACCCGTACGATTTTACGTGCAAGTGTCAGGAATGTAAATCATGTAAGAGAAAAGAAGAAATTAATCTAGAAGTGTTGTGGAGGGAGCGAATAAGTAGCCTAAGAGCGGTCTACATGCCAAGGTTAATCGATAAAATAACACAACAGATGAAAGATCTAACGCTTGCGGATGAGTGATCATGACACCTTTCAATCTTTCCCATATGGCTATAAATACAGCTTCGCTACTCATTTATAATTCACTACAATCATGATCGGAACAGATGATGATGATCTTGATCTCGATTGTTGATCTTGAACTTTACTGCTGTAAATTTTACGACAAAGACATCGAGGTAAAACACACCTATTTCCTCATCATCCCTACAGATAAAGACAATACTAGCATCGACATAAATTACAATCCCAATGTTCAACCTATCAATGAAGCAGTGAAACGCTGGACACAACAACCTTGGTTTCATCACTCTGTCATTGAGAAATTTCATCTAATTACTGGGATACCTGTGGTAGCCCAGTCTTAAAATGCCTTTGTTTTTTTGTCGTCTTTTTTTTTCCTACGCCACAAAATGGAAAAATTGCGCAATAGTACCCAGAGGTCATTGGGCCCTCAACACCACGACAACTAACTGTGATCCAATGAGGTGTTCACATGCTGATCACGCGTGTTATCTTGATGATGATTGACGTTGTCATACACGGACAGGGCCGGGTCACATGACAAATCACGTGATTTTTGCAATAAAACCCTTTGGTCAGTTGTTTCGTATTTCAACGCATTTGGATTGCGATCTCCTGGGGCATTATGGCGCAAACGTGCAAAATACTTATAGACGCATATACAAGTCGTATTAATCGCGGCTAATCCACACTGAAAGATGTTATTGAGCGGTAATTTTGGAACGGATTGAGTCGCGAACGCTTGAAAGCCATGAAAGCCTTGAATGCCTTGTATGCTTAGTATGCCAATATCGTAGTTGAAAAACGTTCACTTTTTGTAGAAAGCAAAATCTGAAATCTGAAACCAAACTGCATATACTCTATGAAATCTATTGAACAACACTACTACCGTGAGACTGAAGAACATAACTATAATGAATGCAAACTGCTTGTGAAGAAAGACGACATGTTGGATTCACTTGATGGCAAGAAACGTAGCTACGATAACAGTACGAATGGTATTAATTTCACGATCAGAAAGGTGATTCTGATGTTTGTTTTCATTGTAGTTGTATGGATATTCTTTTTTAATAAATAAGTGATCCAAACCCCTGTGTTTTTTTATGTATAATGTTATTATGTTTAATATTGTTTACGCAATTGTCTTGTCACAGGCGGCCCAAGCTCACGTCTCAAGAAAAAGCCAACGATTAAATTCATGAACGCGTCACGCGTTGTGTGACTCGGTGTTAAGTTACGAGAGGAACTGTTGGAAATTTGAACACGTTTTAAGGAATAGTATAGGGAGCGAAGTATGGTCGATTTACAACGATAAATATTTCGAAATATGAACACTTTTCTCGTAAAATGAATAAAACTTACTCATACCCTGTGTATCCGTTATATTTTCTGGCAATTTCTGCCGTTTTAAGCTTGCTTTACCATCACTGTTATTCACGTCATCTACTTTTATTACGTTGGTAAAATCTGTACAGACATCACACCAACCAACTCGCGCACAAAGTAAGAAAACTATATTGAAGGCTTGAAATAATATTGCGATCGATTTTCATCAAGAAATGGGCCAGGAATATTCCACAATAGTGCAAATAATCGTGAAGGGGGATCGCAGAAAAGCGATTGCGTGACGCGCGGTAAGCTGTAAGATGACATGTTATTATATACCAGACGTAAAAACTCTTCAGATTCTTAGTCTGCATTTTGTACCCACTCTGCAGTCTGCAGCCTATATTTTGTATCCGGTCTGCAGTCTGCTGTCTGCATTTTTTACTAACAGGTATCCGTGGCACCAATACAGTTTATTTTTGGTTACATTTATTCGCAAAACACACATAATCTACCTCAAAATACCTGTGAGTGAGGTAATTCGACATTTTCGTTCTTTCCCACATTAATATTCTTCTCTTCTTTTGTAAGAATATAGACATCACTCACAATGTTTCAAGTAATCCACCCACTCTACAAAAAAGTAACTCTTGCATGCATAGCATGCCTATGTTTTGAAATAGGTGTATGCCCTTGGCCAGACTTGAGCGCACTATTTCAGTATACTAGTCCGACACCCGTAGTATCACTACACTTGATTCCAAGGATCCAGTACCATCCAGGTATCCCAGTTACCCTGCGCACAGGGTCTAGTTCAACCCAAAAGAAGTCTTCCCGTATCAGGCAAACACCCCTTCAAAAGATTGTGGACCGAGTGGGCAACAAAAGGGTGAAAACATCCGCTATCCACCATTCATGTACCTTCATCATGACGAGGAGTAACAGAAGAAAAAACCGCAAAAGAGTAAAAAAACTGATCAAAAAACTAAGAGATGACTGCTTTAATCTCGAAAAACATTACAAAGAAAAAATCACCAAGCTTCATATATAACTTCTAGATAATCAATACTATCTCAGCTCCATTCTTGACTTTATGAAAGGTTATTGTCATTCTCCTTGGGACACAGCTGTATATAGAGGTTTCCGAAACATGTGTTTTGATGATAATTAAAAACATTTTGAGACATTTTTTATCTCATTTTTTTGTGTCACGTTTTTTACTAATTAAAAAACCCCCCAAAAATCCTTTTTTTTACCCGTGCGCAAAAAAAATCCCTTTCTCCTCGCGCTTGCGAACCCGCACGCGCACAAACCCGCACGCGCACAAAACCCCATTAAACTCGGTACCAGGCGTTTGGGGTTTTTCCTGACGTCATCGTGACAATACGCCTTTCTGATTGGTCCATTTGTACCACATGACATCAATACTCGATTCTGATTGGTCCACGCTATACTAACGCAATATTACTACTAACAGCAATTAACGGTTTTGTCAAACGCTATTTAGTACATATTAATTCTAACAGTATAGTTTGGACTACCAAAATTGCATCACCAAAAATGCAAAGACGCCACCTTCGGAAACTCGTTGTTAGACTCGGTAATAGGTTAGAACCTGTAAATGCGTGAAATCTCCGTGAGGATGTCATCGATATTTGTTTGCATTTGTTTGGACCGAATACAGTCGACTGAAAAGAAAAGATGAAATTGACATAAATGCGCACTGTGGGCTCCTGAATGCTCGCTGAAGGCCTCATGACCTTCAAAGATTGCTTCCTCGACTACAGGTCATCATAACAGATCGGTAAAAACGACCAAAGACATCAAAAAAGCTGCCAAACTTACCTGTGAAGATCTCTTTCCCCGAAACAACACAGCGGGCCGAATGTGGGTCTCATCAATTTTAGGAGAAATGCTGATTGGATTTTGATAGCAGGAGGTCGCTAAATGGTTGAATTCTTGGTTTTCTCAGGAGCTGTCCGATGACTGGGTCGTGATAGGAATATTTCTAGCAGGCCGTTTCTTCACCCGAATCATCGATATAATGTACCAAAAATTCTCAGATGCTGAGTAAAATTGCTACTGCTTACGCTGATGCTCCGGCAGCAATAAATCCTCCCAGGTTGTAAATGAGCGCATCAGTGCGTGAATAGGGTACAAATCACTTTCTATGCTATAGCTTGTTTATTTAATATTTTTAGATTTTTACCTTCAAATGCTTTTTGGAGGAGCCAAAGACTGTTAGAACAAAGAAAGGAGAGAAAATGGAAAGGTATGGAAAAAAACAGTGGCTTGCAAGAAGAGGCTCGAGGCTCCCAAAAAACGGCTCCGGCTCGCACATTAGTTCAACTCAGCCTTTGTAAATTATCAATCTTGGTGTTTCCCCACACTGAAAAACCAATATTCGAAGATTGGTTTAATTAAAGCATTGTATAGCAAGTTCCTAAGTGATAGATTTAGTTACTTTCTGGCTCTTTTAAGAAGATTTACCCTAGAAATTAATTTAGTGATCATGTAATCTATATGGCTATTCCAATTAAGATGCTTGTCTATCTTCACACCAAGCAGCTCTTCGTTGACGGCCTCTTCGATTTCAGTGCCTCGCAACGAAAGGTAAAGCGATGGATTTGTGCAGTAGGAAAGTTTTTGTTTGGTTCCAACGAGTAGCTGTTTTGTTTTCTTTGCGTTTGGACCATCGTGTTTAGCGAGAATCGGTGATTCGCTTTGTTGAGACTTCCCTGAAGTCCGTGTTGGATATGCAAAGGATTAGAATCAATCTTGCTTGACCGGTTTAACTTGTTAATGCACAAAGTAGCTAAAACAGTAAAACTGCAGAAGTTGTAAAATCTATAATAACTGGTTGAAGTAAGCATGTTTTCCTTTGTTCGCCGCTAAATTACGCTATTTTCAGCTTTATCTTTCTGAGAACACCGTTTTCCGCTGTTTTGTAAATAAATTGTGCTGTTTTCTTATCGCACCAAAAACATGTTTTTGTTTCTTTGTGGCTAAATCTCGCTGTTTTCAGCTTTATCTCTCTGTAGACAAAGTCTAAAGCTTCAATGCAGCTAAATTACGTTCCTTCAGCCTTACCTCACCGAAAAAGTTTCTGCGCTTGTTTGCCGCCGAATTTAGCTGTTTTGGGCTTAACCACACCAAAAAAGGTTTTTTGCCTCTTTGCAGTTAATCACGCTGATTTTAGCTTTATCTTTATCTTTATCTTTATCTTACTGAGAACGTTTTTTCGTTTTTGTGTAACCAAATTACGCTGTTTTCTTCCTATTGGACCGAAGACATGTTTCCGTTTGTTTGTCACTAAATTGGCCTGTTTTGAGTTTTATCTCACAGAAACGTTTTTGCGTTTTTGTTGCCAAACTGCTCTGTTTTCATTTCATGTTTTTATACTGAAAACATGTTTTCGTAATTTTGTGGCTAAATTACCCTGTTTTCAGCTTTTTCGCACTGAAAACATGTTTTCATTTGTTTGCCACTAATTTAGGTTATTTTGAGCTTTATCTCACGCAAAACATCGCTTTTACTTTTTTGTTGCTAAATTACACTGTTATCACCTTTATCTTACAGAAAACATGCTTCCGTTCGTTTGTGGATAAATTACTATGTTTTCAGCTTTTTCGCACCGAAAACACGTTTTCGTTTGTTCGCAACTAAACTGGGCTGTTTTGAGTTTTATCTCACGGAAAACAACGCTTTTGCTCTTCTGTCGCGCAATTTCGCTGTTTTCAGCTTTATAGCACCGAAAAACTTTTTCATTTGTTTGTGGCAAATAACGCTTTTTTCAGCTTTATCTCCTTGCAAAATTTTTTAGCTACTTTGTGGCTATTTTAACTTGGTACCTTATTTTCAGAGTAAAGTACAGATTCGCTTAATTGGTTTGACTGAATAAAGTAGTTAAACTAGCTAAAACGGTTCATGGAAACAAATGCACAAAGTAGCTGAATTGGTTCGACTCATTAAAATAGTCATTTTAATCCTCACTGCATTTCGTCCAGATGAACCGTTTCAGCTAATTTGACCATTTCCACGAGTTGAACCATTTCAGCTACTTTGTGCACCTTGAATACATGAATGGTTTGAGCTAACTTGACTGTCATAACCAGCTGATCCAATAGTTTAACAATTGAACCAGTTGAGCCAGTTAAAGTTCTTTGACTAGCAGTTAACCCATTTAAGCTAGTCATGCATTTTGTCCGGTTGAAGCATTGTAGCTAGTTTGACCATTTTTACTACTTCAACCATTTAAGATGCATTGTGAAATTTGTGCAATTTGCGCAGTTTTACTGTTTTCGTTACTTTGACTATTTAAACAGTTGAACCAATTAAACTAGTTTGACTATTTTAACTTCCTTTAACTTTCTTTAACTTCCTTTAACGTTTAACTTCCTTAGCCAATTAAGCTACATTGTGGAGATTGTGCAATTGAACCATTAAAGGTAGAAATGAATCTTGTCTGTTTGAAACATTTAGGCTGGTTTGGTCATTTGAACGACTTCAACCAAGAAGAGAGATTGTGAAATTAGTACAGTCTAATCGTTTTCGATGTTTTGTCTATTTAACCAGTTGAACCAATTCGGCCAGTTTGACTTTTTCAACTGGTAGAACTAATTAAGCTAGATTGTGCAGTTGAACCATTTAAGCTTGTGATGCATTTTTTTCCGGTTTAACTACTTTAGCTGGTTTGACCATTTGAGGTGCTGAGACCCTCATGTATACTAAAGCTCGACACTCGAGTATGCGCACTTCGTTTTCGTCTGCTGGCACACTTTACCCACGCAACCGCGCCTGCGCATTATCTTCTCCCTCACCCTTCCATTACGTAATGGCTAAAATAGTGCCCGCAATGCAGTTGGCCGCGCATACTAAAAGTAGTAGCTTGTACGGTCGGTCGTACGGTCGTAAGTCCAATATTTTCGGCTTGATGGGTCACTACTATTTCCTATAATTTTCAATTTCAATTGATGCTGACATCATGCACTACTTCTGAAGAATAAAACCTTTCCTATCTTCGAAAATTTGCTCAAAACATCAGAAACAACAACGACACCCGTTCCTCACGTTGTAACCCAGTAACTACTGGACTTGTAATGACGTTGTAACCAGTCAATTAATGCATTGTAATCGGGATAGACCTATTGACAAATCTAGACCTGGGGGAGGGGTGAATGAGTAACTAAATTGCCCATAAGAGACGCCATATTGGATTTTGATGGAATGTTTTTTGGGCCGGGTAAGAGGAAAGGATTTTCCTCCTTTAAAGTGGTAGACAGATCAAATAAAACCCGGAAATCCACCGTCCAACTTCCTTCTACTCTGCCTCTGGAAAAAGAGCAACATCGTGGTGTGGAAGATGTGGAACAAGGTGAAGAAGAGGAAGATCCGTGCGCTTTGTGTGATGGTGACCCGCCAGATTCCGACGATGATATGGTGCCCACTTCCTCCACCAGCTCCTACAAAATGCGCAAGGAAAGGCTCCACAAAAACTGGGAATCCTTGCGATCCACATTGCTGAAGTTCTCTGTTGAAATGGAAGGTTTCGTGCCCCATCAATGTAATTGTGGTAAAACGGTGGAAAGTCGATGCAGGGATTGTAGCTTTACGGCATACTTCTGCCTTGATTGCTGTAATCACCTGCATCAGACCAAACATCATTTTCATCACCCAGAAATAATACAGGTATGCATGACCTTTATAATTATCAATTTTGTTTTTTGCCCAGAAGAGTAACCCGGGTTTAAGAAATTTATTAAGCTTGTCTTTTTTTTATACTGAATTTTTCAGGACGGTGTTTGGAAATTGCACACTGTTCCTGACAGGACATTGAGTAATCCCTATCATTCTTGCTCATTTTCCTACACAAGGGAAATAACGGTTATAGATGAAAGAGGTAAAGCTATCCCTAAAGACCAAACCATGATTGTTGTTCATGTTAATGTAGTCCTGGTATTCACTTTTTGCAGTTATTTAATATATTGTAAACATTTATATTGTTTTGGTGAGCTTAATTCTAAGGTTATTAAAATATCGGTATAAAGTCAGCAATGTTCTTCCTTTTTGAATATTTTTTTCTGAAGGTGGTCAGCATCTATTGAAGATTCTCTGTTGCACTTGTTTTAGTGTGGCAGAGAGTTTTCTGTTTCAAGGTTTGTGGCCTGCTACGCCAGTGGAACCAACCTTGGCATTCACCACAAGTCTGATGGAATTTACCCTGGCACTTGTGATGGAATGCCAAGTTTCCATTTTTGATCTTGTGAAGGCCTTAGACTTCTACTCCCACCCTCTCATAAAGGTTCGTTATAGGTTTAGCTGTAAACGACTCCATCGTGTGATAGTTATCAGGGTCGGCCAGGGTTTTTGGGTATATGGTATTAAGGGGCTTTTTTAATTCGGGTATACGGTATATTTCAGCTGAAAGATGGGTATACTACTAATTTCGGGTACATAGTAGACTATATAACGCTTTGATTAATTTTAGGTATATTGGGAGAAATCTTGGGTGTTTTGGGGTATTTTGGCGGATCTTTTTCGGGTATACTGGTATACCACTATCCCCCGCTGGCCGACCCTGAATTATTGAGGGCAAAACCAAATAAACCATCACACAAATAATATAGAAATCATGAGATCATAATATATTATTGCTTTAGTATAAATCTTCATGACCTAGCCAAAACTTTATCATATATATATTCCCTTAGCTCCGGTTGGAGCATAGGCCATTAACCACGTCCGTCCTCCATCGGGTTCTGTCCTGGGCAAATCTTCCTAAAGTGGCCCAAGTGTGGCCCCAGTTTCTCATTTGGGACTCTACACCTCTTCTCCAGGAGTTCCCGGGACGACCCCTCTTTCTTTTGCCCTGGGGGTTCCAACGTAGTGCCTGCCGGGTGATGTTGTTAGCCGGTTTCCTTAGGATGTGACCTATCCATCTCCACTTTCTCTTTGAGATCTGAGTTATGATTGGTTCCTCGCCTGCTAATTCCCACAGCATCTCGTTCGTTACCCTGTCAGTCCAACTGATTTTTAAAATTCGCCTAAGGCACTTATTGACGAAGGTCTGCAATTTCTGGGACGTTTGCTTAGTTGTTCTCCACGTTTCTGAGCCATAGAGGAGGACTGCTTTGACATTGGTGTTAAAAATTCTAAATTTGGTTCTCCGTGAGATGACATGGGAGGACCACACTTTCCTCAGCATATTGAAAGCTACTCTGGCTTTGTTTATCCTGACCTTGATATCTTCATCGGAACCTCCGTCAATGCTGACTACACTGCCTAGGTAGACAAAAGATGTTACTTCCTCCAAGATGGTATCCCTCACTTTAACTGGTCTGTTGTTGGTGCAGTTGACCTTCATAACCTTGGTCTTACTCACATTCGGATGCAGGCCTAACTTGATGGAATTAGCTGTTAGCCGTGCTGTTTTGTCCTGCATTTGTTGGTTGTTACTTGACACCAGGGCGATATCATCAGCAAACTCTAGATCTTCAAGTTGCTCCAATAAGTTCCACTGGATCCCATTTCGCTGTTCTCTAGTTGTTTCCTTCATGATCCAGTCCATAGCAAGTAGAAACAAAAACGGTGCCATCAAACAACCTTGCTTGACCCCAGTGTTGACCGTGAAGCTATCTGACAATCCACTAGCATGAAGGACTCTGCAAGTCATCTTATCATAGGAATTTTTGATGATTCGAATGAATTTCCCCGGTATGCCATAGTGTCTCATAAGGCACCAAAGAACACTTCTATCGAGGCTATCAAAAGCCTTTTCAAAGTTGATGAAATTAACGTAAAGAGAAGTGTTCCATTCAATTGACTGCTCAATGATTATCCTAAGTGTGGCTATTTGGTCGATACAGGAGTGGTCCTTCCTGAAGCCAGCCTGCTGATCTCTCAGTGTAGCATCCACAGCCCCCTGAAGACGAAGCAAGATAATTCTGTTCAGCACCTTCCCTGCCGCTGACATCAAGGATATACCTCTGTAATTCTTGCACTCCCGGCGGTCACCTTTCTTTGGCAGTTTTACAATGTAGCTCTCGTTCCAGTCCTGGGGCATCTCCTCCTCTTCCCATATCTTTCCAAGCAAGCCATAGAGGATATCTGCTGATAGGTCGGGGTCAGCTTTCAGGGACTCTGGAGGTATGTTATCTGGGCCAGCTGCTTTCCCCGACTTAAGCATCTTGATAGAGTGCACAATCTCTATTTTGGATGGCTTCCCGCAGTTCACATTCAGCTCAGCTGAAGCCTCCGGTATTATTGGAAGTTCTGGCAGGGGAGGACGATTGAGGAGATCATTGAAGTATTGTGCCCACTGCGTAAGCTGCTCATCTTCCCTAGTCAAGATATTACCTTCTTTGTCCTTTACTTGGCTGCTAGTCTGTTGAAATTTACCCGCCAACTTCCTGGTGGTATCATAAAGGTCCTTCATATTGCCATGTGCTGCAGCCTCTTCTGCCTTCGTCGCTAGGGTATCATAATATTCCCTTTTATCTTGTTTGATCTTACGCTTTACTTCACTGTTTGCTGCCTCATACCTCTTGTGTGCCTCTGCCTTTTCTCTCCTTGTCCTGCTTCTGTTGTACTCTTCCTTCAGATGTTTTCTTTTGCTGATAGATCCCATGGTTCCTGGTGTAATCCATTCCTTGTGCTCAGCTGTCTTAGTCCCTAATACTTCTACACATGTTCTGTTAATACTCTCGTTGATGTCACTCCATTCATCCTCTATATTCAGATCTTGTAGGGGCTGAAATCTGTTAGACAACGACAACCGGAAGCTCTGTACTGTATCACTATCCATGAGGTAGTGCACATTGTACTTTATCCTTGGATTTCGTGGTTGATAGTTACGCTTCAGCTTTAATCTGACTCTGGCAACTAGGAGGTGATGGTCTGATGCAGCGTATGCACCTCTCTTGACGCGTGTATCCAATAAAGATCGCCTGAACTTCTGTGAGATGCATATATGGTCTATTTGATTTTCTGTTACGTGGTCAGGCGATACCCATGTTGCCTTGTGTGCTGTTTTGTGCGGGAACAAGCTTCCTCCGATGACAAGGTTGCAGTCTGCGCAGAAGTCTGCGAAACGTTCACCATTTTCATTTATTGTCCCCAGACCATGTTTACCCATAATCTGCTCGTATCCTCTGTTACTCTCTCCTATCTTTGCGTTAAAGTCACCCATTATCATTACAAGATCTCTTTCCTTCGCTTTGTCAACTATTTCAGTAAGCACACCATAGAAATCAACCTTGTCCTCCTCAGTTGAATCATTTGTGGGAGCATAGCACTGGATAATATGTGCGGTTATCTTCTTATGTTTGGTCCTGAACCTGGCAGTGATAATTCTAGAATTCTAAAACTTTATCATGATCTCCTTCATAGATACTGAAACTAAACAAATGAAAATACAGTTGAAGCTCTCATACATGTACACCCTCGGGACACGTTAAAAGTGTCTGTAACTGGAGCTGGCCACCTTACAAGAACTGTTCTCATAAGCGGCCACCACCAGAGGTGTAGCCTAGATGTCTGCTTATGAGAACTTTCCCAGCTAACAAATATTTGGAAGACAAAAAATACCACCAAATGAAATATTGCAAACTACACAATGTTATGATAATGGTGAGTGTACAGTACTGTATACTGCAGAATAGAATCCAGTTCCTTCTGCAAGTTCTAAACTTTCAGACTCAAACTGATTACTACTCACTATCTATCACAGAATAGATAGTGGGTAGGGCAGCCAATCAGAGAATAGCATTCGTGATAGATTTACAATAGAACAGATGTAGCAAATTGTTATATTTGTTATTTATTGTTTTAATTGCAGAAAAGGAAGATATATGACCAATTTATTGACAGCTTTGAGGAATTCAGGTGGCTTAACAATTAATGTTTGTGAATTTAGAACTTCCAGCAAACAGTTATCTTGCAACATCCCAGTTTTATGTGTATAAGACCTTTAGAAGTGTTTTAATGAGTAACTTAGATTGTAGTTAAATGTTTTGGATCAACTTTATCCTTAGTTTAAATTTTATTATCCTTTGTTTCTATGTATGGTAATTTATGGTGATATATGCAGATAACCAGTTTAAAACAAAGAGAACTGAATGAAGTGTTATAAATTTGACACAAAGCATCAACTGATACCTCGGTAGATGGTAATGAAGACCATAGAAATTTGGTCAAGTTAAAAGTTAGAAATACCTTGTGATCAACACAGTTTAGGTTGTAAAACCATGCAAAGTCTCTTGAGGTGAGCTCCTGTATTCAGTGCATTTGGTGACACCCGGTGTTCTTCAATTTTTTTTTTTAGAATCCAATTCCTTCTGCAAGTTCTAAACTTCCAGACTCAAACTGATTTGCAGAGTTTTTATTTAAGTGGTCATGTTAAAAAATTATTATTTAATACAAAGATAATTCTTGTTACTTTGTTTTGTGAAAAGGAATAAAAACAACCAATATCCCTTTTGATTGAGTTTTACATATAATTAAAAGTATTTTCCAGAAAATATAAGACTACAAGTGAAAGAAGAAATTACTCAAATATCTGATTTAATTCTTAGGCCACGATAGTGCAACAAATAATTATCTATTGTCATTAATGCTGGTTCAAAAAATACCATATGGTTTGGTAATTTGAACTCGATAGATGCTTTTATTAGTTTAAAATGCTTATTAGTGTAAACACTGTGCACATTAAAGGTATGTCTCTTTACAACAGGTATCATGTAAAGGCTCTCCAGTGTTTTACTGAAAATGAGGTTTGCCCACTCAGGCGTCCAGTTTGTCCTGCTTGTCCCAAGGTAAAACTTTGAAAACCTCTGCTGCCATTTTCAAAGAACTAAATTCAGATTAATTAAAGTAGTTTTCAATATAGAGATTAAATGTTATGTTGTGGTGCATTTTTAGTTCTCAGCACCTCAGACGCAGCCTGACACTTCCACTGGTGCCAGTGAAGGTGTGTTTTATTCATGTGTATGGCTAAAACTCTCACACACACACACACACTCACACACAAAATATAGTTCATCGGTGATAGACAGAACTACAACACAATAACGATTTGATTTTAAAAAACGCCGTACTTATCACTGCTCGTGTGTTCCTGTGTGTTTGTTTTTAATTATATATTTATATTTTTGAACTTGATTTTTCCGGCTTTTAATCTGACTGGACAATCATAGTGACACCAATAGGAAACTGCTGTCTTTTAGTCACTATACTTAGCATTTTATTTGAGCAATTCAGTCAATTCAATTTATACTTCTTTGTCTGGTTTAGGTAATGAAGTTGAGCTGTTTGACAACTCCAACAAACTCGTTTGTCGGGGTGTTGTAACTGCTCAAGCCATGGTACACGGCCGGGCACTGAAAACCGGATGGGCCGCAGTGATGATACAGGATATCTTGTCAAAGGGAAAAGTGGAGCCATGGCAAGAATATCCCACCCATTCTGGGGAAGTAGAAGAAGGGAGTTTTGTCGCCTGGCCGACTGCTTACATCCAACCGCGACGAGAAGCTCTGCAAACTGCCCGGCCGAAACAAAACCTTTCGGAGACGCAGGGTTTAAAGGATGCCCTTCATCCCGACAAGTTTGTCTCTCCCGGGACAATAATGTCCAGGGATAGACAGCTACGAAGTAGAAAGTGAAAACATTATGATTCCACTATTGCGCCATTTTACCATATTTGGACATGAGAACGCGCAAATCATGAGCCTGTAATGCCCCGGTTTGACTGTTTTAGAACAGAGCAAATACGGACGGAAAGCGTAGAGCAACAAAATGGTTGGACAAAAGGGAGCAAAATTGACTTGTTTACGTCCTTTACGCTTGACTTTTAAGCGACGACCTTTCGACGGGAACGCATTTTTTTAACTCAACAGAAGGAAACTTGCGAGGACATTTAATTCTTTTTGTTTGTGTTGTTTTCGTCATTCGCGCACGCTTCATAAGATCGATAAGATTCTCAGGCGATGGAGGTTGTATTTCAAAAACTAGGTGCCAAAATGCTAGAAAATGGCGCAATAATGAAATAATAAATCCCTTATTGGATGGTTTAACATGTAATACGTCCGGACATTTAGCTCGTTTTGCTACGCAACTCGCAAAATACCCGCGCGTATTATATGTTAAACCATCCAATAAGGTGTATGTAACGGTTCACTGTAAAGTTAAGCAACCACACAGAGGACGACAACGAAAATGCAATGTGGGAGGCTAACCTTTCCTTCTGGAAATTTCATTGAGACTCTTGAAACTATTTACATTCATAGAATGGTGCTGACAAAGACATAAAGCTTTATTTGAGGTTATTCGTGTTGTTTCTTTGTACAGTTTAGCAGATTGCAAAACACATGTGCAGGTCTTTGCCCTGCAGTGTTCTTCCTCCCCTTCTCTTAAGCGATGTTCTCGTTGCCAACGCTGTTGTGGTTGCGTAAATTCCCTATTGTAAAGAAAAAATGCAGTTTGCATGGAATGAGATAACCAAAGTTGTAATTCATAAGTCTGTTTATCGTTTCCTTTTCTCATGATTCTGTGTTCTCTTAGTCGATACTAATCTGTTACATCTTGCTGACTTATATTCTATTTTAAATACAAAATCATGATTAGGATAGGAACGAAGGATCCTCCACTGTCACTTGCTACTACACACTCTAATAAATCACTGTACATATCAATAAATAGGATAGCCGAGATATATTAAAATGAACTTATTGATGCGTTTTAGCGTATGATGTACATAAGACAATGTATGTTCCAATGCTACGTCTTCAGAAGATACTTAACAGTACGACCAGTGTTTTCGACTCTCCCCTGGATGCTAGTCCATTTCAGGGTCACCCCCTCCCCCTCCCCCAGCAGTTAATACACCGGTTCCCATGTATCATCACCCGACTGAAGAGAGGCATAGTAAAGGTTAAGTGTCTTGCCCAAGAACATAACGCAGTGCCCTTACAAGAGCTATTTTTTGGGCCCAGTGCATACTAACCCGGCATAAGGTATATTTTTTGGTCCAGCGCATACCGTGACAATTTGTCCACCACGCCCCCATGCGTCTCTATACAATAGTGACAGGGTTCGCACTCACCTTGAAAGTCCTTGAAAATCCTTGAATGTCAAAATAAAAATTCACGGCCTTAAAAGTCCTTGAAAATTGCAGACAGTGCTGGAAAGCCCTTGAATTCACTAAATTCACCCCATTTTTCAGTCTGTTTTTGTGTCTACCCCATTTTTCAGCCTCTTTTTGAAATAGAGTAAAATCGGGGCGAAGAGTTGATATGCCGGGTATACGATATAGCGCTTAGTGTGTTAAATTCACAAAATTCACCCCATTTTTTAGTTTCTTTTTGAAATACAGTAAAATCGGGGTGAATAGTTGGTTAGCCAGGTATAGGACATAGCGCTTAGTATGTTAAATTCACAAAATCCACCCCATTTTTTAGTTTCTTTTTGAAATACAGTAAAATCGAGGTGAATAGTTGGTTAGCCAGGTATAGAACATAGCGCTTAGTATGTTAAATTTACAAAATTCACCCCATTTTTTAGTTTCTTTTTGAAATACAGTAAAATCGGGGTGAAGAGTTGGTATGCCGGGTATAGTACATAGCGCTTAGTATGTTAAATTTACAAAATTCACCCCATTTTTTAGTTTCCCTTTGAAATACAGTAAAATCGGGGTGAAGAGTTGATATGCCGGGTATAGGATATAGCGCTTAGTATGTTAAATTTACAAAATTCACCCCATTTTTTAGTTTCCCTTTGAAATACAGTAAAATCGGGGTGAAGAGTTGATATGCCGGGTATAGGACATAGCGCTTAGTATGTTAAATTCACAAAATTCACCCCATTTTTTAGTTTCTTTTTGAAATACAGTAAAATCGGGGTGAAGAGTTGATATGCCGGGTATAGGACATAGCGCTTAGTATGTTAAATTTACAAAATTCACCCCATTTTTTAGTTTCTTTTTGAAATACAGTAAAATCGGGGTGAAGAGTTGATATGCCGGGTATAGGACATAGCGCTTAGTATGTTAAATTTACAAAATTCACCCCATTTTTTAGTTTCTCTTTGAAATACAGTAAAATCGGGGTGAAGAGTTGATATTCCGGGTATAGGACATAGCGCTTAGTATGTTAAATTCACAAAATTCACCCCATTTTTTAGTTTCTCTTTGAAATACAGTAAAATCGGGGTGAAGAGTTGATATTCCGGGTATAGGACATAGCGCTTAGTATGTTAAATTCACAAAATTCACCCCATTTTTTAGTTTCTCCTTTGAAATACAGTAAAAGCGGGGTGAAGAGTTGATATTCCGGGTATAGGATACAGCGCTTAGTATGTTAAATTCACAAAATTCACCCCATTTTTTAGTTTCTCTTTGAAATACAGTAAAATCGGGATGAAGAGTTGATATGCCGGGTATAGGACATAGCGCTTAGTATGTTAAATTCACAAAATTCACCCCATTTTTTAGTTTCTCTTTGAAATACAGTAAAATCGGGGTGAAGAGTTGATATTCCGGGTATAGGACATAGCGCTTAGTATGTTAAATTCACAAAATTCACCCCATTTTTTAGTTTCTCTTTGAAATACAGTAAAATCGGGGTGAAGAGTTGATATTCCGGGTATAGGACATAGCGCTTAGTATGTTAAATTCACAAAATTCACCCCATTTTTTAGTTTCTCCTTTGAAATACAGTAAAAGCGGGGTGAAGAGTTGATATTCCGGGTATAGGATATAGCGCTTAGTATGTTAAATTCACAAAATTCACCCCATTTTTTAGTTTCTCTTTGAAATACGGTAAAATCGGGGTGAAGAGTTGATATGCCGGGTATAGGACAAAGCGCTTAATATGTTAAATTTACAAAATTCACCCCATTTCTTAGTTTCCCTTTCAAATACAGTAAAATCGGGGTGAAGAGTTGATATGCCGGGTATAGGACAAAGCGCTTAATATGTTAAATTTACAAAATTCACCCCATTTTTTAGTTTCCCTTTGAAATACAGTAAAATCGGGGTGAAGAGCTGATATGCCGGGTATAGGATATAGCGCCTATTATGTTAAATTTACAAAATTCACCCCGTTTTTCAGTCCCTTGAGGAAACTTGGTTTGAGAAATCGAGAAGTTCGAGAAATTGGCCATTTCAAAGACGAGCGGGTACGAACATATTTTTTCTTGGTACCAACCTTCAGTATCGATTTGATTGAAAACGAGGCATGTCATCGGGAAGAGCATCCAAAAATTAGTAAATTTACCAAATTTGATGGTTATTGGTTTAAACACAAAGGCATGGTACACTTTTAAAATAAGAGGGCTTAGTATGGATTGGAGGACGCCTGTCCCTCCAATCCATACTAAGTGTACCATGCCTTTGGGTGTAAACCAATAACCGTCAAATTTGGTGAATTTACTAATTTTTGGATGGTCTTTCAGATGACGTGCCCCATTTTTCAATTCAATCGATATTGAATGTTTGTACCGAAGAGAAAATATGCTCGTGCCCAGTCCTCTGCTCGTTTTTGAAATGGCCAATTGAGGGTAAAATTGCAGTCTTTAAGTAAGGAAAGTAAGTAAGTAAGGCCATTCCAGGCGACAGAACTTTTAATGCATTTCTTTATAAATAGCAGCGAACCGTTGACATGAGAAAACGCGAAGTTGTCTCGGGGGGCAGGGTGACCCTGGGTGGAGGGTCACTCGCGTTGAAGGAAGCGTAACCCTGGGGGCGAGCCAACTCTTTTTTCCTTTAAACTCTTTGTCTCGCCTTCCCGAGACAACTTCTCGCGTGCCGAGTTTAACATAATTGCTAGAATATAGGTTTTCAAGGGCAAATTTATATTGTTAACATAAAATTTAACTCAGCAAAGGTAACAGTAGCGGAGTAAACGAAAGGAACTTAAAGGAAGGAGAAATGAGGATTTGAATATTTAAACGAGCTCTAAGTAATTATGCAAGATCGACTTTGACTCGGTCAGTAAGAACAACTCTTTTCATATAAACGCTCTGTAAAGATGGTTTGGTTGCAGTGTCTTATTCACAAATATTAGCTAAAAAATTCTCACTCTTTGACTCGTTATCCGAAAAACGTTGTTAATATTTGTCACACGATTGATTACAGTCATTTTTGCTGCACATTGGACTTCAAAGAAAGACATTATATCCCCATACGAGTGCATTGTTAAGCTAAGCAAGCAGGAATTAAGTCAGCTTGGGAACATGATAAAAATGCATGGAGTGTTCTTAAAAATTCCCAAGTACTTATACAACACAACAATACAGGAGGACAAGTTTTTATTTCTTTTATATAATGTTAAAGAAATTGTGCGCGCTACAACTTGTGACCAATCATAGAGTACGCAATTTGTCGATGATTTTACGTTGGTACTAAATTATAGTTGCACTGCGTTGTTAGGTATTACTTTCTCAAGCATCATATTTCCCACGATTTCAAGTCGAATTCTGTAAATGTTATCAGTGAACCAAGACAAAAACAGTACATAGGAACATTTGTTTAATGCTCCAGAAATGAGAATGTTGTCTAGCCTTAGATCATATACAGACTTGTCAAAACTACGGTACTTATTACAAATAGTCAGTAATCCTTGTCCGAATACTTAATATAAATAGTCACACTTCAACATCACTATCATTGTCATCATCTTCATCACTCTCAAACTCTTCGCCTGCATTCCAGAAATCGAGTACATTGACTTCCTGGACATTGTCAACCATGTAATTACTAACTTCTGGAGAAGGTGTGATAAACTTTTTAAACATATTACAAGCACCAAAAAGTCGCACACGCTCATCGTACAGTTGCTTTGTATGGATGGAATAAAGACCTTTGAGATTGTTAGAATCTTTAAATTCATGGTGACTTGCCAACGAAGAGAGTCGACCTTCAATTTCAAGACATTGGTTGAAATATGCAGTGATAGTGTTAGACATTTCAGCGTCTTGATATTTCATCTCCTCCCAACATCGCGAAATCAAATTCTGCGCATCAACTGCTGACCTTTTAATGCACACAGGAACACCGTCTTCGTTTGGGATGTTGATGGAGTAGATGGCACTGCTGACGTCACTAACATCTTCCCATGAAAGAGGGGAAAATGAAGAGTAATCATGTTGCCGGAGGATGTCTACAGAAGAGTTAAATACTTTTAACTGCTTGCGCAGATTGGTATTCTCTTTGGTGACGCCCTTACACAAACGTTTCGCCTGGGCTTGGCCATCTATAACAGAAACAGTTATATAAAAAAGTTAAGTTATTAATTGATATGTGGGTTGAGTCCGTTCTTGGTTGTCGTCTTTGCTCTAAGGGGTCGCCAGTTTTTCCTGACCCTCAGCTGACACTAACCCTCCATATTCCAATTCAATCTCATGCACGTAAACTTAAAAACGAGCTTTCTTGCTACATGGGTAAACAAAGTCAATTAACATTTTTAAGTTTTACAAAGAAAAGTACACGTCAAGAGCGCGTAGCTCGATCTTTTTATACCTGTGTATTTCTTTTTTAGGGAAAGAAGAAACCATCTTCTTCTACCGGAAACCAGAATTAGATCCAGGGTCTGTTTTGCTCTTACAGCCTCACAAGTCACCAAACTGGACCTGTATTGTGGATCTGACGGAGACCAACGAGTTTGAATTTTGAACTGTTTTTCCATCTTCAGAAGACGTTCATGCAGACTGACGAGAGAACAACAAAATACACAACT